ATTACAGCTTTGGAAACCCTATGGGGCAGTTCTGCTGTGTCCTAAAGCATCGCTGTGAGTCGAAATCAACTTGATGGCAACGGGTTTTTGTTCATAAACATTGTAAATGTTCTAAACCTTTAATTCATAAACATCATAAATATACTAAAGAAAACACTTGAAAAGTTAAGTTTAAAGACTTGAGAGCCTCCCAGTTTGTAGGTGTCATGTTCATTTGCACAGTAGAGTTTCTCATTTCCAGGCACTAGCCATGGGAATACTAGTGAACAGCTTTCCACAGACTACCATTCCATGCCTTACCCCAGGTATTTCTGATATCTGTGATGAATAAAATGTTTCTGTGTTCAATTCCTCGTCTATAGTCTGCCTACCCATGGTTCATTTCAGAAGCATTCAGCTCTCCACTGGGGAACTGTATCTGGAGACAAGGACACCGAGATGAATGCAAGACTCCTGGAGAAGGAGGCAGATGTGCAGACCACCATTGGGTGCATCATGATGAGAACCTTGATGGAGGTGTAGGAGTACATAGAAGGGACGTTTCCATTACCTGGGGCGGGAGGAGAAAGCATGCTGGGTCTTGAAGGATGAGGAGGAGTTCAGGGAAGAGAGGAAGCTGGCGAAGTATTTTAGGCGAGTAAGTAGTATGATGATGGCAGTTCATAGGAATTTGTTAGAAGACTAACAGGACAGTTGGGGGGGTTGTGATGGGAGATGAGGACAGAAAGTAGGTTCCAGCCAGATCCCCAGGGAATTGTCTTTAGCCCACAGCACTGGGCACCGCTGACAGTGACACACCATTGATCGGAAGATGCACCCTAATGCAGAGAGGTTAGTATGTGGGGAAAAAACAAAAACAAAAACAAACAAACAGAATTATTTAAATAAAGAATATGCAAGCTTTACTTCATAAATAATTCTTAAAAAAAAAAAAAAAAAACTTTTATTAGTCAGCATCTTTTCTTCCACTGAAAGCAATGAGACTTCAGCCAGAGAGAGAGAGTCGAGCTAATTATTCTGTTCTCCACGAATCCCCCTTGTTGTTGTTGTTATTTGCTGCAGAGTTGGCCCCCGACATGTGGAGCCCCTGTGCCTAATGGAACTGGACCGTTATGATCCACAGAGTTTTCACTGGCTGATTTTTGGAAGTAGATTGCCAGGCCTTTCTTCCTGTGTAAATGATTTTTTATGAAGTCATAAAACCATTAAAAAAACAAAAAACACTATAGCCGTTGAGGTGATTCCGACTCATAGCGACCTTACAGGACAGAGTAAAACTGCCCCACAGGGTTCCAAAGCTGTAATCTTTCCAGGAGCAAACTGCCACATCTTTCTCTCGTGAAGTGGCTTGTAGGTTTGAACCACTGACCTTTCTGTTAACAGCCACGCTCTTTGACCACTGCACCACCAGGGCTCCCATGAAACCACACTAGCAAGTTTTTTTCTGAAGGTTTGTTCTAGAGAAAAGAAAATGCAAAGTGACTTTTTCCTATCTTAAAATCCAGGTTTAGGTTTAAGTAAGACTTTCTTAGGACGTGAGTGAGGGCCTGTTTGGTGGATGAACTTGATAGCAAGTCTTGGAGGGCACCTCGTCAGTGCTGTCAGCTTGGGGCACATCTGTGCAGTTGAAAGTTAAAAAAGAATACAGCAGTGTTGGTCAACATTTCTGCACATACTGGCATTTAGTTCTCATTTTGGAGTGAAAAGAAGGACCGTGTGCAGTGTGCATATCTGAGTACTTCCCACACAGCTGACTTGAATCGGCAGATTTTGGGTTCTACTCTTCTCACCCATGGTGCAGTGTGCCTTGCTTGCACTGTGAGAGACAGTGACCATGGAGTAGGAAGGTCTCATAGGTCGCAGGCTGTCTTGGTTATCTAGTACTGCTGTAACAGAAACACCACAAGAACATGACTTTAACAAAGACAAATTTATTCTCTCACAGTCTGGTAGTCTACAAGTCCAAATTCAAGGCGTCAGCTCCAGGGGAAGGCTTTCTCTCTCTGTCGGCTCTGGAAGAAGGTCCTTGTCATCAGTCTTCCCCTGGTCTAGTAGCTTCTCCACCCAGGAACCTCAGGTCTAAAGGACACGCTCTTCTCCCGGTGCTGCTTTCTTGGTGATACGAGGTCCTGATGTCTCTTTGCTTACTTCTTTTTTATCTCAAAAGAGATTGGCTTAAGACACAGTCTAATCCTGTAGATTGAGTCCTGCCTCGTCAACACAACTGCCACTAATCCCATCTCAGTAACATCGTAGAGATAGGATTTACAACTCACATCAGATGACAAAATGGTAGACAGTCACACAGCACTCGGAATCATGGCCTAGCCAAATTGATAACACATATTTTTGGGGGCACAATTCAGTCTATGACACTGACATTTATTCTTCCTGTAGAAATCAAACATTATCTTGCATTTCCAAAACATTAAAAAAATTTAAAATCATGGTACAGAAAAATGTTAGATGCTACTCTTCTTGCCAAAAGTGCGGGGAAATGTTTTAATCCAGATATTATGTACCATATTAAAAAAAAAACTCCAGTTTCTTTAATATGTACAGTGAGCCATGTTTCAATCAAGGGGATTCATCTTTTTTGAAAAGAATGGAAGATGTTAGGAAATGAAAATATTGAAATTGTTACCTGTCTTACTTTGGGAAAATGCAAAAAGTAGGTACTATAACGAAAGAATAAGCTTCATAAATGTAGATTGCACCTTATAGACAACAAAAGCTGTAAACTCTACTGAAAATTTTTAAAAAAATTTATTTTGTTGTTAAGAATATACACAGCAAAACATACACCAGTTCAACTGTTTCTACACGTACAATTCAGTGACATTGATTACTTTCTTCAGAGTTGTGCAGCCATTCTTACCTTGCTTTTCTGAGTTGTTCTTCCACCATTAGCATAAACTCACTGCCCCCTAAGGTTCCTATCGAATCTTTCGAAAGTTGCTATTGTCAACTCTATTGAAATTTGTATGCATAAGTTTTGAAACAAGGTAGAATTTTCACCTCTTCCTAATTTAATACCTAAACCCTTGGATCAGTAAGTGGGTCAGGATTTCTTGAACTTCTGCTTTGCAGTAAGCTTGACACTGTGCTCTCAGAGGTGTAAAAGAGAAGTAGTTACCCATCTGCTTTTAGTAATTTAGAGTCCAACCCAGGGAGAGGTACATTAGGAGGCTAGTCCTGGGCCGGCTGTCTGCCTGGTGTGGGATGCCCTCCAAGAAGATTCATAAGGTAGTGGAGTGACAAGAATTAGAGTTCATCACAGATAGTGGGAAAAAGGGTTGAATTTTGTGCAAATAACTGAAGGGTAGGAGAGTATAATGAAGAGGCTGGTGGATATTAGTGTGCAATGGAGTTATCAGTAGGGAGACCAGCATATAAGTTGGCTGGTCTAAAATGGTAAAGAGATATTACTAACAATTTGAGCTATTGGTGTTATCCTAAAAATATTATCTGATATTTTAGAAGATTAATTAGTAATAGTACTAGGTGCTGTTGAATACCTTTCTTTCATAAAAAAAAAGAAACAACAAAAACCAGTTGTTGTCGAGTCAGTTCCGACTCATGACAACCCCATGTGTGCCAAGTAGAACTGCTGCATAAGGATTTCAAGGCTGTGACCTTTTTGGAAGTAGATTGCCAGGTCTGATTTCCCAGGTGCCCTGGGTGGATTCAAACTGCCAACCTTTTGGTTAGTAGCTGAGCAGTTAACCAATTGTGCCATCCAGGGACTCCTTTCTCTCATAACTGTTATCAAAAAAGGGCAAGAAACCCGTCATTTATTCATCCTCTGACATTTTCACTATTTTAGAAAGATCTAACACCATTAGTTTGAAAAACTGTAACTTTAAATATACAATAAAATATAAAGAGTAGTATAGTGAACCCGTCACTGGGCTTAAGAAATAAAATTTTGTTGTCACAGTTGCAGAGCTCCCTCTGATAGCTCCAGTTTTGAAATGGAACATTTCAGGCTTGGATTTTCTCAGTACCAAAAAAGTTCTTGCCAGGGCAAAGGACAGGCACGGACATGAAACACTAGTTGTGACCTGGTGGTTCTAACCCCTTTGTCCTTATTTTAACTCTTTGAGCCTCACTATCTTTATTTATAAAACAAGAAAAATGATTACCTTTTAACAGGGTTATTGTGAAGATCAGATAATGTATGTAAAGCACTTGAGACCATACCCGGCCTGCATTGGTTTGAATGATTTAGTGTTGTTCCCATTTAATACTTGAATTATTGGATTTATAAACCATGTAACACTTTTCTAGGTTACATGACTGAACAATTACACGTGGGTCATTTTAAGTATTCACAACCAGAATTAAGTGTCCTTACTGTTTGGAATCAGTGTGTAACCATCCTAGGAAATCATAAAACATATTGGTAAAACGTGTTTTTAAAATACCAGCAATTTCTGCTGTATACTTTTTTGGCCTTTCTAAATGGAAGAATCTTTTTTTCTTTTAAATTTTACTTCTGATAATTTTTGGTGCACAGAAAATAAAGATTCCAACTGTGACATGAATTTTGAGATCTTTTTACTGCACTTGCAGAAGAGAGATGATCAGAGCTGTAAAACTAAATGAAGGATCCATTTGGGAAGGTTGGATTTTTCTTTCTCCAGATTTTTTTTCCTGAAAATCCTGATAGAAGTAATAAAATAAACATGAGAATTTCACCAAAAGTTTTCAGTGATACCAAGCCGACGTCATTAGGAATGTTTGTGTTAATGAGAACATATTTCTGTCTATCACAGGCAGTTTAGTCTGAGATTTATTCTCCTAGCACGTGATATAAATTAAAAAAAAAAAAAAACACCTTTAAGCTAATTGGGTTTTGCTTTAAAATTCTTATATGCTCATCTTGTGTGAGTGAGTGAGTGAGTGAGTGTGTGTGTGTGGTGTGACTTTGCAAAAGAGATGGGTAAAGTTTGACTGTTGGAGGTCAGATACTGACCTTTAGACTGGAGGATGCCGTAGATCCCAGACTGGAAAACGTAGTTATCAGTGTGAGGTCTGGAGAACATTGCTGTCAGTTTTCCAGATGACTCGAAACCCGATGTGGTTGGTAGAAAAGGGAGAGCTTGGAATGTGGGGAAGAAGAGGGGAGTATGAGGGGGAGAGTGAGAGAGAGAATTAGGCTGAATGAGAGAGAAGTGTGAGAGGGAAAACCTGAGGGATGGGGTTGTTTAAGACAAGTGAAGCACATATACATGAAAACTTTTTTTCTCTCCAAAATGAAAAATTCCTAGTGAAGAAAGGAGGAAACACGTTGGAAGAAGCAGACAAGGCCATTTGTATTCTCTCCCATGTGGTGTACAGACCTCACTGACTTTCCTCAGCAGTCCTACGAGGAGATGAAGTGGCCTTACCACGTCTCACATGAAACAGCCCCCTTGCCTTTTGCTCAGTGCCTCCTTCCATCTGTGCAGTTGACTTAAATGTAGCTTTGTCTGAGTGAGTGGCTGACAACCCTGGACTTCCAGTGGGATGTGCAGAGTCCTGTCTGACCTTGTTTTTGCCTAAGCGTACTTCAAATGTTTGTCTTCCAGGTGGTAGAGATAAACGTGGCGGCCCCATTTTAACGTTTCCGGCCCGCAGCAATCATGACAGAATACGACAGGAGGACCTCCGGAGACTCATCTCCTACCTAGCCTGTATCCCTAGGTAAGTTCTGTGTGGCTCATGGCCTGTTGCTTTTTCACTGTTCTGAAAGATCGAGGAGCTATACTCTTTAGAAAATTGCTGAATAGTAGCCAAAATTTCTAGCAGAAGGTGGTATAAAATTAAAATTAATGATATTTATCTGTATTTCCATTTTGTAACTCTTACTATCATGTGTAAAACACTTCTGGGGGCTGGCACGTGAAGATGCTTGTTTTGTGTGAAGAGCTTTGTCTGTTGAAGGTGAGTTTGGGATACTGCCTTGGCTGGGACTTTAGGATGTGATAACCTGAGGTAGAAATAAGACACAGTCATCATCATAGTTCTGATACTAAGATGCAGTGGAGTGGGTGGCCAGAAATGGAGTGCTGTTTTGATAATGCATTTCTGCCTTCATGCTAAGCTTCAGCTCCTTAAAAAAAATTCTGTTGATTTGTAGCATGAAGTTTATGGGACATTAAAAATCGTTATTAGCTGTCAGGTTATCAAGTTTGGGGACCTCCATTAAATCCAAGACCACTCCTCAAGATTCCAGATGTGTGACTTCATTAGTAATAGGGAGATTGTTAGTGTGGACTCTGATGACCACCTAGACCAGGGGAAGTCTTACTTTTCAGAGAGCCCTGGAGTGAGGGTCGGTTCATAGGAATTGGCCCATGTCTCCACTTGAGGAATTTAGAACCTTTGTTTCTGCTCTAGAAATGTATTCAGGTTTTACTTATACAACTGTTGAAGGGAATTTTCCCCCTACAAAAACATCTCCATTCAATTGTTCAGATTATTTTTTGGAAAATAGAGTTCATATTTCTACTCGCAAGTAATCCAGGGATATAGCCGTGCCGGGGATAAGAGATAAGGTGTGTGTTGGGGTTGGAGAGGTGCTTCCCTGTGAGGAAAGGGTAAGTCCCTAGGTGTCTGTTTCATTCCAGAACAAACGAAAGAGGGCACAGCTGACTTTGACGGTACTGAGAAGGGTAATGTTAGCATGAACATGGACTGGTTGATTAAATCTGGTTTATTAGAGTGAGGAAGCATTTCCTAAAAGGGAACTAACTTAGGATATGGCAAAGAAAACTGGATCTTAGCATAGCATGGTACAGTTAATAACTTTAAGGAACATCTTATGAAGGAGGAGAATAAACCCAGTAGCAGTCTGTTGTTGTTACTAGGGGCTGTCAAGTCTATTTCAGCTCACAGCCACCTCATGTGATAGAGTAGAACTGCCCCATAGGGTTTTCTAGGCTGGAATGTTTGTGGAAGCAGATGGCCAGGTCTTTCTCCTGTGGAGCCGCTGGGCAGTTTCAAATGGCCAACCTCTTGATTAGCAGCTGAGTGTTTAGCTGTTGAGCCACTAGGAGTCCTTATAATGGGTTTAAAAAGGTTAAGGTCAGTGGAAGCTCTCACACAGCACCGGGGTTGGCAACACTTCTAACCTATTTAGATGGACACTGACCAGGGAAGACAACGGTGCCCTTTTGTAACACATTCTTCTTTTGGCTTATCCAAGTATAGATGGCTTGACCTGCTGAGGAAGTGTTTGGGATTTTCTTTTAGGATATTCTTTATGGGAAAACTCTTACTTTGTACTATTGGTGACAAAGTGATAGAACCCTACTTACATATATGGAAAAAGCTTCCCCTTTCCTGCTATTCTGATGTTTTCTTCAGCTGCTGAACTGTTAAAATCATAGAGTTGGAGAGAGTTTTAGAAGTTGACTACTTGCTGTCATTTACAGATAACAGTATAATTAACTGCTACCACTTACTGAGTTCTTGGTATGTGCCACGTACTGTGCTAAAGATGGGATGGGAGAAGAGGACTGCAGATGATAAAGTAAACAAATAAACATAAAGTCCCTGTCACTCAAAATGGTATTTGTTTGTCATATATTTTAATAAAAAAAAGGAAGTTGAATTGTTCTTCATACAGATGATTTAAAAAAAAACTTACATAGCCGAAATGCTGTATATAACCAGCAGCTTGCTTTCTGGGCTTTTCTTTTCTTTTTAAATTTTATTTGTTTTGTTGTTGAGAACATACACAGCAATTGAGCAGTTTCTACGTGTACCATTTACTGACGTTGATGACATTCTTGGAGTTGTGCAACCATTCTCACCTTCCTTTTCTGAGTTGTTCCTCCCCCATGAACATAAATTCACTGCCCCCTAAGGTTCCTGTCTAATCTTTCAAGCTGTTGTTGTCAGTTTGCTCCTATGTAGATAGTTCTTAAAAAACCATAAGGCTCAAGGCAAACATTTTTTGCTAGTTAAACTAAACTACTGTTTGGTTTTAAGATGACTTCAGGGGATATTTTTGGTTTAAGGTTTGAAGATTATCTCAGGGCAATCATTTCAGGGGTTCATGTAACATTTGTGCCTCAGGAAATCTGGAATCTATGAAAAATTGAAATTCTCTTCTGCATATTCCCCCCCTTTGATCAGGATTCTTCTATAGAATCTTTGATGAAAATGTTCAGTAGTGGTAGCCAGGCACCATCCATTTCTCTTGGTCTCATGGCAAAAGAGCCAGTTGTTCATAGAGGCCATTAGCCACACATTCCATATCCTCCTTCCATTCCTGACTTTCCTTCCTCTGTTGCTCCAGGTGAATAGAGACCAGTTGTGCTTCAGATGGCTGCTTGCAAGCTTTTAGGACCCTAGGCACTATGCAAGGAACTAGGAGGTAGAACAGAAGTACTAAAAATGTTATTAGGCGAATTAGCTGGGATGTCCCATGAAACCATGACCCTAAATCTCCAAACCAGGAAACCAAATCTCATGAGAATTTTGGTTGTACATAAGCAGCCTCAGCAGCTACTCTTTTTTTTTTTTTTAATAGTTATTGCAAATATGCCTATCACACAACTTTTGCCATTTCAACTTTTTACAGATGCAAAACTTAATGATAGCAATTACAATAACCGTCTGTGCAACCCTCCCCTTAATGGGATATTTCCATCACTGTTAACCCCCCTGCCCCTGGTAACCACGGGTAAACTTTGTTCTCTATATATTTGCCTTTTATTGTATTTTTATGTAAGTGAGGTCATACAATTTATATCGTTTTGTGATTGACTTATTTCACTCAGCATAATGTCTTCTAGCTCCATCCATATTGTAGCAGTATCAAGACTTCATTCTCCTACGGGCTGAGTAGTATTCCATTGTGTATGTGTTATTTCCACCTTTTGGCTATTGTGAATAGTGCTGCAATGAACATTGGTGTACAAACCTGCTTGAGTCTCTGCTTTCAAGTCTTTTGGGTATATACCTAGGACTGCAATTGCTGGGTCATAAGGTAGTTCTATTTTTAGTTTTTTGAGGAACTGTTACACTTTTCCACAACCACTGTAGCATTTTGCATCCTACCAGCAGTAAGTAAGGATTCCAATTTCCCTATATCCTCGTCAACATTTGTTATTTTCTGTTTTTTTTCTTTTTTTTTAAATTTTAGCCATCCTTCTTGTTGTTGTTGTTAGGTGCCATCCAGTTGGTTCTGACTCATAGCAACCCTATGTACCACACAACGAAACTCTGCCTGGTCCTGTGCCATCCTCACAGTTTTTGTTATACTTGAGCCCATTGTTGCAGCCACCACGCCAATCCATCTTGTTGAGGGTCTTCCTCTTTTTTGCTGTCCCTCTGCTTTACCAAGCATGATGTCCTTATCCAGGGACTGGTCCCTCCTGATAACATGTCCAAAGTATGATAGCCCTCCTACTGGGAGTGAAATGGTATCTCACTGTGGTTTTGATTTGCATCTCTCTGATGGCTAATGATGCTGAGCATCTTTTTATGTGTTTGGTGACCATTTGAATGTCCTCTTTGGTGAAATGTCTATTCAAGTCCTTTGCCCATTTCATGATTGAGTTATTTGTCTTTTTCATTTTAAGTTGTCAAAGTTTTATATGTATTTTGGTTATTAGATTCTTGTCGGATATATGGTTTTCAGAGATATTCTCCCAGTCAGTAGCTTGTCTTTGCACAGTTTTGCTAAAGTCTTTTGATGAACAAAAGTTTTTAATTTTTATGAGGTCCCATGTATTTATTTTGTCTTTTGCCATTTGTGCTTTTGTTATTATATTAAATAATCCATTGTTAAAACTAGGCCTGACACTTTGTCCCTGCTTTTTCTTCTAAGAATTTTATGGTTTTAGTTTGCACATTTAGGTCCTTAATCCGTTTTGAATTTCTTTCTGTGTATAGTGTGAGACATGGATCCTATTTCATTTTCTGCGTGTGGAAATTCACTTTTCCCAGCACCATTTATTGAAGAGACCCTTCTTTCCCCATTGAATGAACTTAGCACCCTTGTCAAAAATCAGTTGACCATAGACGTGGGGGTTTATTTCTGGACTCTCAGTTCTATTCCATTGGTCTATGTGTCTATTGTTATGCCAGTATCAGGCTGTTTTTTGTTTTTGTTTTTTAAATTATGCTTTAGGTGAAAGTTTACAGAACAAGGTAGTTTCTCATTAAGTAATTAATACACAAACGGTTTTGTGGCATTGCTTGGCAACCCCGCAATGTGTCAACATTCTCCTCTTCTCCACCCTGGGTTCCCTGTTTCCGTTCATTTAGTTTTCTTATCCCTTCCTACCTTCTCGTCTTTGCTTTTGGGCTAGTGTGCCCACTAATCTCGTATACATGGGTGATCTACGAAGCACATTCCTCGTGTGCGTTACTGCTTGCGCTATAGACCTGTCTAATCTTTGGCTGAAGGGTGAACCTCAGGAGTGACCTCAGTACTGAGTTAAAAGGGTGTCCAGGGGCCATACTTTTCAGGGTTTCTCCAGTCTCTGTCAGATCAGCATTTTTTTGTGATTTTGAATTTTGCTGTACATTTTCCTCCTGCTCTATTGTGATCCCTGTCAAAGCAGTCAGTGGTGGTAGCCGGGCACCATCCAGTTTGTTCAGGACTCAGTCTGGTGAAGGCTGTGGTAGTTGTGTTCCATTGATCCTTTGGACTTATCTTTCTCTCGTGTCTTTGGTTTTCTTCATTC